TGAGACGGTGCGGTGGTGAAACGGGAGGGTTTCAGGCCCTAGCGCTACCGCATCGCGGGGTCGTTCTTGCGGGAAGGGGCCTCAAGTGCTTTATAGTGCAACCTGCTGAAAGCGGGCTCAGCTCTGAGGTGGGGCCGAGGTGCTGAAGGTTTCATCCCTTCTGGCCTCGAAAATCTCCAGAGATGGGGACTGCACAACCTCACTGTGCTGCTGCTTGACTGCCCTCATGGTGAAAAAATCACCTTTGGAAAAACAGTATTCATGTGGTAGATACCAAACAGCAAGGGGTTCTGCTCTCTCCTTGCACAGTGCTATAGTCAGGAGGCTTTAAAAAATCCCTTTTTTTAATCTAGAAGTGTTACAGGCAGAAATATCCTCATGGTTTCTTTGGTAGGACATCAGAATTGTGAAGTTTTTTCCACTGATTTCCAGCATAACTTCAGTCAAGTTACAAACTCTTTGTCTCAGTCTTCTCTATATAACTGCTTTTCCCCGCATGTCTGATGCTTTGAGGTTCATTTTTTGGTTAGCAAGCTTCTTTCATGCATCACCAAATGTAACCCTGGAATCAGCCTCTTGCAGTTTTTTTGATAAAAGTTAATTGGATTGTAACTTGTAGAATTTGTGTATATGAAACTGTAACTCGTTCATCTTTGCCTACTTCCCTGTAGTTTGTCAAGTCTCAGAGCCTTTCTTTTACTTAATGGGTAAGCTCCTGAAATTAATGGTTCTTTGCAGAGCAATTTCCCTTTTCTCAACAATATTTCTAACGCACTGAGTATCTATGATAATTTAATTAAGATTAAATTAATCCAGTTATGATAACCATTCTTCCATACTAACCTGCTGCTTAAGAGGTTGAATGGAGGGATTCAGAAAAATTGGATTTGCCTGCTGACTGCATGAAAGGAGGTACTGAAGAGATTTTTAAAAATAACTAATTATATCTCAGTCTTTTTTTTACAGAGAGAAGTTCACTAGAGGGTCAGCTTTCATGATAAGAAAAACAGTGTGTTTTCTGTCAGTGTTGTTTGTTTGTTTGTTTAAGGAAGAAGTTTGTGGTGTGAATAATATTTTGTGTTCCAGAGACAATCAGTGTCTATAACAACTGATTTTTTTTTTCCTTGACTTGTCCTGATTGTAACTCAAAGATTTGCACAAAATGCTTCAATTAGTATGTTCAGGATAGCAATTCTGTATATGCTTATATATTGTCCTGAATTGGAGTCTTCTCATTTGTAAGATTTCAAAATATTTACTGTGTAAGTAAATGTCATTTGATCGAAGGGGAAACTGAAACAGAGATCACAACTTGTCTGTTCTCAAAGCAATATAAGGCCAATCCACAGCAACCGGTAACTTCTGTACCTCATTTTACAAGGCCTTGATGAAACATGAATTTGTGCATGTCCTTTAACATCATTACTGAGAGTTTTATTCCTCCCTGGGCAACAGCAGTACTTGAGATTTAGCCTCTTTGCAGGGGACTTAGACCATGGTGGTCTAATTATGGTTTATCTTGGAAGTACTTTTTTTTTCCTCAGAGTCTTCTTTTGCCTTTAGTTTTAAAGCCTGTATTAACTGACATCCTTTAAATCTGAAAAAAGAAAGCATGTGTAATAATTTTTTTTCAGCTGACGTTGTTGTTGTTCTTGCTCTGAACCTAGTTCTAACTACTCCACAAACAAGCCTGATTGCTGTCAGATGTGCTTCTAAGAAAACTGGGGGCAGCTCAAAGAATTTAGGTGGCCGCAGCCCTGGGAAGCGCTATGGATTCAAAAAAGTAGAAGGTAGGTCTAGGTCTGAGTATCTGCTGAGCCTTATTTGCGTTTCATTGGGTTCTTCACAGCTGCTCCCCTGGTACACGTGTCAGTTGTTGAGCATTTCGGTAGGAGGTGGCCAGGGCGCTCTTCCAAGAGAAAGGAGAGGGGAGGTTCAGTGGAACCTCATGATCAAGAGTAGCCGGCAGGAGGGCAGGGTGAGTCAGCCTCCCTCCCAGATGGGCCTGCGAGCGGCCAGCCAACATTGCCTACAGAAAACGTACTTTGATTCTAACTTTGCCTCTCTGGAGAGCCTGGGAGGAGGGTACACTGTGGGACACTTAATAACTGAAGTGCACTTTCTCCCCACACTGTGTTGAAAAGCCGGGCATTTTTGATGTTTACAAAGGGGAGAATTATGAGGCTCAGCAGAAGCCAAAGTACAGATTCATGCAGCTGAGTGCTTAATAATTACTAGCTTTGTTGACAAAAACATATCGATGTAAAAGGTAATAAAACAAATGCCTTCAGCAACTAGAAAATGCCTTGTACCCTAGAAGTAATCTTTTCAAGACTAGAATTGCTTTTTGCCATTGTATATCAATTACCCTTTATTTCCTGCTAACACCTTTTTTGTATAGATGCTTTTAGCATTTGAAGTAATTTTTCCTTAGAAAATTCCCACAGAAAGCTGGGTTTTGTAAGTCCTGGAACCATTTGTGTTCTGCCAGGGCTTCGGGGAGCTCCGTTTCTCTGCAGTCTGACTCTGTCACTCTGTTGCAGGTGCATTCGTGCACGCAGGCAACACTTTGGCTACGCAGCGGTTGATACGCTGGCATCCAGGGGCTCACGTAAGTTCCTTTTCCATCTCTTCCTTGGTTCTCAGAGAACAGCAGCCCACAACAGAGTCCTGTACTCAGTGCCTGCTCTCCCTCAAGCTAGTTCTTAATGCTCTTCCCTATATTCTACATTATCCTGATATTGAGTTTCATTATCTGGTATTTCTTAGTCACAGAGCCTGCTCAGAGTCATACCTGTGCCCATGTGACTGAGGAAAGAACTGAAAGTTACGGATATGCCCAAACACTTCTGCAGCCTGAGTTCTTGTGCTTCAAGGTGGAATTGGTATCTCCTCCCTTGTAATGAGCACCACTGCATACTGATTGCTGGAATCGAATAGTGTGGTTTTCTTTTATTTTAAAATACAAAACAACAGATGCTGTTGAAGCCAGGATATTGAACGAGGCAGACCAATGATCAGATCTGCTTTAGTGGTGGAGCTCCAGCCTTTCCTTTCTAACACTTCTCATCCTCCTCCAGGTGGGGATGGGCCGTAACAAGACACTCTATGCCCTGGAGGATGGGATTGTGAGATACACTAAAGAGGTCTACGTACCTCCGCCCCGCAGCAGTGAGAGCAGGGAAGTGATCTGTCGTCTACCCAAAGGAGCAATTCTTTATAAAACCTTTATCAATGTTATCCCTACCACAGAAGTAGGAAGCTTTAAACTGGTCACCATGCTCTGAGCCTCCTGCATCATGTAGGGACAGATGGGAAGGAGCAGCTGGGACAGACCGCTCCAGCTGGACTGGCATCCGAGGACAGGAATGTTCTAGCTCTGAAGATTCCAGTTTAGGACTTTGTTTTCTTGCTTGTAAAGCACATGTGGTCAGTGTTCAGGCACTGGGATCACCTGCTGGCATTTCTAAGGGTGTTTAATAAATGCTGTGGGGCTGCTGAAGGTCTTGGCTGTTAATAGAATGTGTTACTTATGTTCATTTAGTATCGAGCTGCCTTTGGAGAACCTGTTCCGTTGTGCCACTGGATGAGGTTTCTTTAGAATCACTCTTATGTCAGGACTTGTCCCACTAATAGTTCTCTCTATCTATTTTTACTCATTTTTAGACATTACTGTTATATTTGTGTCTTAATTCAAAATACTCCAGAACAGATCCTTTTCCACTTTCACCTAACTCTGCATCCTAGGAAGCTAGATTTTTCCTTCTATCTAACTCATCTCAGTGATTAACTCAAAAATCTGAAAGTGTTCTATTTCCTAGCCACATGAGGCAAGTTCACGCTCATAAAGCAAACTCATGACTAATTTTAGAGTGCCTGGTAAGATGCACAAGTCTGGGTGGTATTTGAAGCTCAGCAGCTGGAAGCGTATCATAAAGCCATAATCCAGAAGACTTATCCTTTTGTCTTCCCCAAGTCATTCCATAACATTTTTGAGCTTATGTTGCTTGAAAGAAAGGAGCCCAAATGCCCTGTGGCCAAACTGATCTCATTTTATCTACAGGTTTGTAAACAATTTGAAACATTGTCTCTGCAGTAGAAAACAGGTTATCAAAATTGGTGGTGTGAGGACACCAGTGTTGACATTATTAGACTGTCTGCTCTGTAGAAGACGACTAGGTAAACTGGGTCAGCCACACATGTCCACCTTTGCTTTATGTTCTTCATGGAGACAACCAGCTATTTTGTCCACGGTTCTCCTGTCCTTTCTCAGCTTGCATGTCTAGTCACAGGGTTCATCTCGGTGGTCATGTTTGTGTACAGCAGATGAACACAACCCCTGGAGCCTCTCCAAATCTCTCTGAAGTCCATACAAAATTGCTCTCAGTCACAGATGACTGTTGCTGAGAGAGCACACAGTGATGCTCTGATGCAGATTCGTTCTGCTGCTCACAGGTGAGGATTCCCACCTGGTATCTGATACACAAATAAAGCAAAACATTTTACAGCCTAAGAAATAAGTGAAATAGCACATGACCACTGTCTGAGGTCTGATCCTTGCCACACCGGGCAGTGCTTGCCTCACAGAGGTACGATAACACTGGCTGCCTGGAGGAGCTCTGGCTGAGCAGACCTTCACCTTGGCTTTGCCTCTTGTGTAGAAGCAAGCAGCTGGTCTGTCACCTTTGGTAACTATGCCAGAAAAGAGCGAGCAGACATCTCTGGTTCCTCTGCTCAGAGCACAATACCTGGCGGTGGCTCTGTGGTTCTCCTGGTGCTGCGGGAGGGATGTCTCCACTGGCTGGGTCTGACTTGCCTGCAAATCTGGGTAGAGGTCTGAGGTTCAGCCATTCCCTGCAGACGAGAATGATGCCACAGGCACTTCTGTGGCTGACACCACAGAAAGAAGCAGAATGTGGAGGCTGAGGCCTTACACGTCTGTGTTTCGCTGAGTTTGGTAGCTGAGAGGGGCCTGGAAGGGGTCTGACACACCATGTCTGGCCAAGGTCTCTGAGCTTATTACTGTTCCTGATAAAGCTGGAGGATGTCTCAGAGCATGCTCGTAGGGAGGCGGCATCTATTGTGGAGAGAGGAAGAGCATTACAGCTGATCAGAAATAACCAGGAGATTATCCCACCTCTTCTTACAGAGCAGACGACAAGGCTCACAACCACCACCAGCCTGAAACTAAATTCCTGCAGTCCTCAGAGCAGCGAGCTGCTGGCTAGATGAACACCTGGAAAATGAGCACTTAGCACTGGTTTGCAACACAGCAGGGCAGAAATCCACTGGAGAAGTACATTCCACCCACTCCCCCCTCACACTCTATGCCAGGTTCCTGCTCTTCCCTGTCCCCCTTCAAGGACTTGTCACTACTTGTCGCAAGGTCAGAAAAGACTTGCCTTTTGTTAAAACAGGACTGTTGTTCTCTTTCCTTTGACCAAAGATTACTGCTCCCTCAGTAAGTTTGCAGACGAC